CTCTGCCTTCGATTTTCACAGTGATGTAGCCCTCTACCACTCAACACCTTTAAGCCCCACCCACTGCCATCGTAACCCAACCCTACCTCTACAACTCTCATTGTTTGTGTAAAACAAAAAAAAGGCCGTTTGTTGAAAACTGTCTGACCAAACCGACAAAAACTCAACTGACGGAGGCTTTATCTATTCAATCGGTCGGTTTCCAAACCCTATGTCTATCGATGGAAGTTTTGGCCTAAAAATTGACTTGACGAACCAATTTACACTCGTGGTGACGAAGATAGAGTTGCTACAGCTATCGAGAAGTTTCTTATCTCATTTGATTAGCTACATAGCAGAGCAGTTAGGTGATTGATAGTGGTGTGTCAATTCATGCTACATCCATAAGGGATTTCTTTGCATCCTATACATGTGGTGATTTTAGTAGTGTTAGGATGGGTAATGATGGAAAAGCTAAAGTTAGCTGTATTTGTGATGTGCACTTAGAGACCAAAAATGGTACTATGCAACAATGTTAACTATATCCATGATATTTGCATGAATGTAATATCCACATATAAATTTGACGATGAAGGTTTCTGTAATACCTTCTACAATTGTAAATGTAAGCTTACTAGAGGCTCAATAATTATAGCTAAGGGAGAGAAGTGTTCCACGCCATATTTGATGCAAGCAAAGGTTATTGATTCTACAATAAATATAGTGGATGATGAAGAAGGTTTTGAACTTTGGCATAAGAGACTCTGTCATATTAGTGAGAAGGGATCGATGATTTTGATAAAAAAGAGTCATATTTTTGGTATAAAGAATACACTTTTAAAAGGATGTGCTATTTGTTTAGTAGGGAAATAAAAAACAGTTTCTTTTAATGCATCTCAGCACTCAAGGAAACCAAATATTACTTGACTTGGTATATTATTCTATATATGGTCCTATGAAGACAAAAACACTTGGAGGTTCCTCATATTTTGTGACATTTATAGACGATCATTCGAAGAAAACATGAGTCTACACATTGAAGACTAAAGATCAGGTATTGCAAGTGTTTATACAGTTTCATGCCCTTGTTGAAAAAGAAACTAGTAAGAAGTTGAAGTGCATTAGTACTGATAATGGGAGGTGAGTATTAGACCTTTTGATGAGTATTAAAGAAGCCTTGATATTAGACATCAAGAGACACCTCCTAAGACTCATCAATTAAATGGGCTAGCTAAGAGAATAAACATAATACTAGTTGAGCGGGTGAGATGTTTTCTTTCACAGTCACAGGTGTCAAGATCGTTTTAGGTGAAACATTAAGCATAGTTGTGTATGTTTTGAATCTCATGCCATGTGTTTCTTTGACTTTTGAAGTTTTGAATAGAATTTAGTATGATAAAGAGTTATATACTGTAATCACCCGCGTGTCTTTGGGTGTAAAGCTTTCGTACATGTTCCTAAAGATGAGAGATTGAAGCATGATACAAAGACAAGACCATGTGTGTTCCTTGGCTATGGTCAAGATGAGTTCAGTTATAAATTGTATGATTTAGTACAAAAGAAGCACATATAAGTCGGAATGTTGTATTTGTTGAGGATCAAACCATACAAGATATTGAGAAGACAGAGATAAAACAGAGTTTTTAGCACACTGATGATTTGGTTGACTTATATTTTGTTCCTTCCACACTACTTTCTATCCATACTAAGGATGAGGTTTAGAATGATCAATTTCATGATACAGATGAGGTAGATGACGATGTTCATGAACAAAAATGAACAGATGAGCAGAGTTTCATATGCTTTAATAGTTTGGAGTTTGGTGTACGTTAGAGTATGCACTAGATCAGATATTATCCATGTTGTTGGTGTTGTTGGTTGTTTTATGTCCAATTCGAAAAAAAGGGCATTGGGAGGTAGTAAAGTGAATCATGAGATATTTGCAGAGTACTTCCAGTTTGAAGCTCACTTTTGGAACTAGAAAGCTTGTGATAGTTGGTTACACTGATTCACATATGATAGGAGATTTAGATAACCCAAAGTCTACTTATGACTATTTTATGATATTTGCAGGTGGTGCAGTGTCATGGCAGTCAAGATTACTAAAGTGTGTTGCACTTTCTACGACTGAAGCAGAGTATATTGCAGTAACAGAGACATGCAAGGAGAGTTGTGGATGTGGTAAGAATTCAACATTTCATTTGTTAACGAAACATATAGATGTGAGGTATTACTAGATGAGAGATGCTCTCAATGATGGATTAAAAGAGTTAGAAAAGAAAAAGATTCGTACATAATCGCTTTCAACCCGATCAAAGGTTGATTCGTGGTCCGATCGAGGTGAAATCTTGACAGCATGTTTACAACATGAAAGTCTTCAAGTTGGATGGTGGAGCTTTCTTTTCGAGCTGCCTACAGTCAAATATAGTGGTAGTTGGATGCCACTTTTAAGTGAGATCGTTCTACTTTGCTTTTAATTTCACCCGAAAAGGCGTCATACTAATGGAGACAATTATCCTCATCTATATATCATAGATCTGCCCTTGTCTAGCCAATGTGGGACTCTGTTTGCATTCTCCTCTCAAGTAGTCAACCATTTGTTCACACTCGTCGCTCTGATACCACTTGTTAAGGACAAGTGTGCCATTGTACCCAGTTATCTTCACAATGGTATGATATTGTCCAAATTTGAACATAATCCTCACGATTTTGCTTTTGATTTCACCCAAAAGACCTTATACCAATAAAGATAATTGTCCTCATCTATATACCATGGATCATTCTCTTGGTTAGCCAATATGGAATTTTAATTTATCTACATTTCCCTTACAAACTCAACAATATATATTTCAGTTGTATTATATTTTTTAAAATAAAGTTGTGATTTAATATCCAGCCATGCTTTCCCTGTATATACAACCATATAGCAGTGGTAGCCACAAGAGACAGTGGAGCACATATTCCTAACATCAACCATAGCAAGGCTTTATATAATTGCAGTCGTTTTCGTGCAACAATATTTTTAGATGCCGCTAATAAAACTAATTAACCATCAAACTAATCAAAATACAAAGGAATTAACTAATCGAATTTAAAATATTTTTCATTGTTAATATTATAGTTTCTAAATTTTCTAGAATTAAACTATAAGTTTTTTTTTCTTTTTTTTTTTTTTTTTATCGAGTTAAACTATAAGCTCTAGTTACAATAACTTTGTAAATAGTGTGATTGCTTAACATGTTTCGTTAATGCTAAATTATCCAATGTAGCTATTGACTTTATCATTTAACGTTTTAAATTAATATTTTAATTTTACTCCTAATCACCTAATTTTTGTTTAAAAAAACATTTCATAAGAAAGTTTGATTAAAATCTTTTCCATTTTTTTAATATAAATGCTTGACAGAATTAACAAAATAAAAAAAAACTCAACATGCTGGAAACAAATTAAAATCAGAGAGTTTGACATATATAACTCAACCAACGGAGTTTTAACAATAGATTTTTTTAATTTACAACAATTTGGATACTTTGACATATAATGTGTCTCAATTCATGCTTTCAATATATTTAGTTGAAAGAAAACTTCTGCCATTTGCTTAAATAATTCTATACGATTAACAAAAATTTTCAGACATTGAGGAAACTTGAATATATGGATAATAGACATGACAAAATTCTCTATATATATAGTTTGCTAAGAAGCTGAACCATATGATGTATATTATGATATTGAGAAAAAAGAATGTCAAAAAGTATGGAACATTTTTGCGGATCAAAATTTCCCATGTCACACTTGGGGAAAGTAGATCACATATTGAGCGTAAAATGCAAAAGCTGGGACACATATTACAGTACTACGAGAATTAGTTGTCTTCGAAAACCATATCCTTTCGGATTGATATGACAAATTGATGAAAAATAACATGGGACGGAGACTGACTTGGAATTGAGCTTCAAATCTTCCTTGATAACCTTCAATTACGCAATGTCCTCCCTGAAATACATCACCCAACAAACTCCTTTGAAATGTTCTATTGAATTTGACATTTAACTTTAAAGTTTAACTTATATTTTGATTAGATTGCTAAACCTTTGTGCTTATTTTATTTTAAACTATAAACTTTCAAATGTTGTATTATAATCTATTAAATTTAAAATATTTTGTTTTAATTGTTAAACTAAATTACATGAAATTATTTTGAAACTCGACACCTTCCCTTTGGAATCTAATTTTAAACACTTATCCATGCAATATTTGTTGGATCAAATAAATGAATCAAAGATAGGTGTGTCCATATCTGATCTCTATTACATAAATAAATTTAAAAAGTCTAAAGTCAATTACTAAAATAGTCAAAGCATAATGTCTTATAATTTATTATTTATAAACCAAAAAAATAAAAGAAACATTAAATTTAAAAAATCAAACTAAGATTGAAACCTAACTTGTCTTTTTTTGAACTTATCGTAACCCGCTTAAATAAAATGAAAAAAATTAAAAAAAGGCAAAAAGAAAAAAAAAAAGAGTCCAATATTGTGATATTTGGTGACGGGGACAATACCTCTTTGGTAAGAACAATCTCTCTATCTGCAATATAGAATCTGACTTGTGAATCCGTGAGAGTAGCGTGAACTGTGATAGACGACGATCAAAAGTTATGAAAAAACAAATACAAATTTGTTTAAAAGTAAATAATAAAGAAGAAAGAAGAGATTTGGTTACTTGGACGATGAAAATATATAGCCAGTTCTCTTATAATGCGTCTGAAGTCCGTGGAGTGAATGGAGAAGAACTTTTCTTGATCAACGAGTCCCAAATCTTGCACTTGCGAAGACGAGAGCGTGAGTTGACGCTTCAAGTACGTTTCGTAACCTGCAGGTGAGATTAGTAAGTAAGGAAGAGTGGGAAATATTCTTGGGGAATCTTGAAGAATCAAGAAGGCTTACTCGGGGACTCGAATCGGAGGATCATGAGGGCGGCGTTGCCCTGGAAATGCATGGTCATGGAAGGGAAGAAGCGGCCCTCGAGCATGGCGCCGCGGAAGGAGGGGATGAACATCCGGAGGCAGAGATTGCGGTCGACGGAGTAGTGGGAGAAGAAGGGCTGCGACATTTGGAGCGTGGCGAAGAAGCGAGGGGAAGGGTTGAAGGTGATTATGGAGAAGGAGTCGCGGGAGAAGTTGGCGTCCGCTGTGTTCGAAACTTGAGCCAGTATGGAGGTTGCGTTCAACACTGTGTCAATGTGCAAAAGCCTGATGAAGAACATATTCCTAATCTCAAAAGGGCGCCCAAGGAAGGATCAATTTAATTCGCCTTTTTTATACTACACCACCCCTCCCTTGCCCACCATTGTTTTTTTTATTTTAGTTTTTAATTTTCCATATCATTTGGTTTTTGAACTCTTAAAAGGTCTATTTTAGTCCTAGAAGTTTGTTTTTGTCATCGTTCTTGTTCGACTTTAAATGTCTTGTCTATAAGGTGTTGATGTTGTCGATGCTTATCATCTTTATTTGTATTGATTTGTCTTTGCTAGAGATAAGCTAGGTTAGCACACTAAACAAATAATTGTATTTATAATATGTAAATATAGCATAATGGATAATTAAGCTATAAAAAGAAAAACATGGAAAACAAATTTTAGGCCCCTAAATAAAAAAAATTTAAATCCCTTATTTACTTTCCCCAGTAGAAATGCGGGCTTTAGTGACAGTTAAAAACTGTCATAGACTTCATTTATGACAGTTTAATAATTGTCATCTTTTAAGACATGAAGAAAAGTGATATCATGACAGTTTGAAAAAATTGTCATAAATACAATTACAAGGATTATTATAGTTTGTCATAAATGAATCATTCATCACAGTTAACAACTGTCACAAATAACATATTTGATGACAATTTATATTTGTCATGAAATAGAGCAAAAAAATCGTATCTTAGTCGAATAAGACGTTTTCACGACAGTTTTTAATTGTCAAGAAAACCCTTTTAACAACATTTTTTAAGTGTCACGACAAATCGCATAATGACAATTTAACAAATGTCATGAAATATTTAATAACGACATTTTATTCATTGTCATGAAAATTTATATAACGACAACTAGTAACAGTCATAGTATATGTAATAACATGTTTTAAGAATCACAAAAAATTATTTTGTGACAATTTAAATCTTTTTTGTTGACGTTTACAACTATCATAAAACCTTTAACCATGACAATAATTGACTTTGGACATTGTCAAAAGAAGTTTAACAATGACAATTTACATCTCTTTTGTTGACATTTATTGCACTTTTTTAACTGTCATAACTATGAAATTGATAACAATTTTCATATAACTGAATAAAACATATGATAACAGGTTTTTTAAAGTTATTTTCCACAACAATAGCTAGTACCTGTCCATTATGACATATTTCAGATACAAAATCGTATATAGTTTTACATCAACCCCGTGCATTATTAAACTATATTCAAATGTAGATGAACCAAGTATATAAATATTCATATGTAGTAAGATAATATATTGAAAGTTCGAAATTCTCTATACCTGTAAATTCCAAAATGTAACAAAGTTGCATATAATAAGGTCAAAGTCTTCATATACATATACAAACTAAATATGATCAAATTTGTACATTATACTTGTTTGTTTGTACATGATCATATACATATACCCAGGACACATGGAGGACCCTTATTGGTGTTTGAAGAAATTGAATAGAAGGGATTGCCTAGGTCCACCTCGGCCCTGCCGAGGAGACTGGGTTCGCCCATTATAAAAGGCTAAGTATAGGCGTCAAGGTTCGACCTGGCTGGGACTCGACCTGCTTGGAACCCGACAGGTTCGACATGAGAAAAGACATATAACCGCCGGTCGTGAGTACTGTCGGATTCGCCACCTATAAATAGAGGGACTCATTTCACACTCAGGTATCGAATCTCACCCGAACTAAATACAGAGTCCGATCTATACTGACTTGAGCGTCGGAGTGCTTACCCTCTTGTGTAGGTCCACTCTAGTGTTCAGGTCGGAACCGGGGACCGGGTTTGAGCTTGATTCGTGAAGAACCGTTGTGCAAACTCTTGCATAAACATTTGACGCCGTCTGTGGGAAAGGCGA